CAAATTGTACAGATCAGCCAAAAATAAAAACACTGAAACACTACAATGCAGTTTGTGTTTCACAGAAGCCAAACTAACTAACAAGACCATGTAACTTATTGCCATTAACCAGGAATGGTGCTGCCACAGATTCATCATGATTAGTTATAGGTAATTCACAACCTTGGTTGAAAGGAAGTGAGGGTGCTGGGGGAAGGCGTGGTATGGCAGTGATATGTCCATTTTTGCTAACTGGTTTGGTTGGCTCAGCATTGGGATAGTTAGGAATCCACTACTGTAGAAATAAACATAATCGATTGAATACATTTGACAAGCCCTTTTGACTTTACAGTCAATGATTGCACAGTCAATAGCACCACTGTGATTGACTCCTTTCATTTACTTGGATGTCTTTTGGACTGTGTCCCACCCAAAAAGTCAAGCTTATTTCCAAGCACACGTGCATTATTAGACTGTACTGTGAAACTCTTACCCATAATTTTGCTGCTTTAAAATATTTGTGACAACTGGAATGGAATCTTCAGAAATAAAACCCGTATCTGATGCCAACATTTTTAACAATAATTGTGCTGTACAAGATAGTTTGATTCTATACAGATTTACCTGAAATTATATTTGATTAACAGCCTATCATATGGAAAGATTTAAGAATGCACTGTCAATTGCAGCTTTTCAACAAAAATATAGTGTCTCGAAAGGGTACATTTTATCGCCATCTATCATAATTCTTCTTGCACGTCCCTAGACAAATAGCATTACAGTCAGTACAAGAATTTAAATCATCCACAAAACAACTAAAAGATGGACATAGGCCACAAATGGACAGCTAAAACATATCTCAGTTCAAGTTCCAGAACTGTATTAGAAAGGGAAAATGACTTGTTTTAAATTGTGTAAAATATGAAGTGATAAAAAAATCCACATTTTTAAAGAGAATTCAATCAGTGAAATACTTCTTTAATTGTCACAGCATGGACCATTACCATGGCCAAGACCTTGGTTAGGACATGACCTTCTTACATTTTCAGGTGCAAAGTTAGACTATTGCGGGAAAGTATTTACTGAACCAGCTAAAGTTGAGTAGAACCATTCCTTATCCTTAAAACCACCATTTTTATGAATCAAGGAAGATTCTTGCACTGCACACAGTCTCATCAAAAAATCTATCCATTGCACTACATCTCATCAAGAATCAGCTTTACTGCATGTACTCTCATCAAACTGATCATTGCTCCTAGTTTCAGCTGGGTACCTGCAAATCTATTATTCAGCTGGAATGCAAAGATAGATCATAGGGTATCATCAGCATGACACTATATTCAAATCCCTAGCTAATATTTTCAAGAAGATTCATATGGGCATTAACAAGCAAAGACAAGAGAACTCGGCAGAATACATAACCAAGAAACTATGGGGGAAAGCAAACCTTTGGTGGCAAACCAGAAGATAGAAACCTAATTATTTCAACAAAATCCCCCAATTCCCACAAAATTGTTCTTCTAAGGAATTCTGCTCAATGCTATCAAGTAACCAAGGGAAATCCATGAGGATCAGAAAGACAGCATTCCATCAGTTCCTGTCCCAACAGAAGTAATTAATAACAAAGCTGTTTTAATGCGCTAAGGCTAAAGCCTGATTTAAATGGGCTTAGATATTTATCTAAGTTTTATTTATTCATTCTGCAACCTTTTATGATCACCCATTTACCAGAAGGAATTCTAAATGTGAAAGAAGAGTAAAACAATATTTTTTAAAAAAAATTGAAACAAACAAAAACAACATTGTGGCCACCTACAATAAAACTTCCATCCATCAATCAACCACACCAGATTTCACTGCTTTCTTGAAGGCCAACAGAGTTGAGGTCATCCATATTTCTAGGAGAGCCTGTTCCACGAGGCAGGCACCATGAGAGAAAAAAACTTATTTCTTTTATTACTTCTGAAATAGATTATATGGAGATCGGCTTGGGTTATACATTACATTAAACCTTAGAGTCATTTAGTTGCTTTTGGCTTAGGGTGTTATGAAAACCCAACTATCATGGTATGTAAATGTGATCTACAGTTAAGTTCTTTATTAAATACATGAGCGTTTAGTTTAAAACTATTTCCTATGTAAGTAGCCAAAGCTATTTTTTTTACAATTTAACTCTAGATGCCTAACATTTATCAGCTCAAGGGCCACATTAGATTTTGTGTGTCCTGTTGAAAATAGCATTTCAAAAGTCAGCAGAGCCTGGATTTTGAAAATGTTAATGGACGAAATGGGAGCCTTAACTGCAGAAACTCCAATTTTGCCCCTTAAAACTGCCCCAAACTTGTAAAAATTCAATAATACACAAAATAATACACTTTCTTTTGGCCTGCTCTCTTTTGGTGAAGAGGCCTCACACCTTCCACTCCTGTTCTAACTCCAATATCCCAATGCCTCATTAGTAAATTATCTTATTTGAATATGACAGCATGCACTCTGCATTCAAGACTGATATCATTCTTGCTATATATTACCTGCCAATTTCTAAGAAATGTTGGCAAAGGTATCTAAATTCAGTCTTCGTTGTAACATTAATTAAAATGTATTGTAGCTTGATCACTCAAATCCAGAGTATAACATCCATGGTATATGCATTAAGCTAGTATAAAAAAGGCAGCAGCATCCTCAGATAATACACCCTGGATTAAATTCCCATATGGCAGTGATCATTGTATAGTATCATAGTGCTGCATTCCATAGACGTTTCAACTATTGCTCATTTAAGGATCCTGTTTTATATCACTTTTTGATACAATAGCAATAAATAATATGCTACAATCATGATGCTTCTAGAGCTGAGGCTATCAAAAATGATCTTACGCTGCAAAAATTGATCTTACCACATATAAAGCTTCCTGCAGTAAGATTTTTCTGTGGTTTCTCTAACTCTTTATGGCCTCTCAGCTGAACTCTAGCAAATCATGTAACAGTCTGCTACAAAAGCATTTTCTCCATGTCAGCAAATGCAGCCTACAGATTTATTTTATTTATTCCTGTGCAGACAATCTATCCACTTTCAGGTTTGTCTGGCGGTTTACAGGGCTCGATCCAGCTTATGTTTATTCAGACCCAAGTACCATTTTGCTTTATTGATAAATGCTAAAATCACCAGAAGCAAGATAGGCATAGATTGTTGCAACATGCATCTGAAACAGCTATTTTCACCCATGTACACCTACTTTTGTCCAGTTTTAAAATTAATTAGGAAGTATAGATGTAAAAATGAACCCTCAGGAAATTGGACTGAAATTTTATTTTTCCACAACATTTTTTCACTTTAGAGAATTCTTACAGCCTATCACCAATTACTAAAGCCCAGTTATATTGCCAGTCATTGAACTTGAGAATGTTTTGGGTCCCCTCTCCTATGGAAGTACATCTGGCAGGACCCAGAAGAAGGGCCTTCTCCGTAGTGGCCCCCTTCCTTTGGCACATCATCTCTACATAGACCAGCCCCCCACTTTGACACTCTTTCGCAAAGTACTAAAGACCTGATTTTGCCACAGGTCTGGAGAACCCAGACTTGTGGGTTGTTTGACTGATTGCTGTCACCGAGGGTGGGGTGGGGTATTTTTTATTATTGCTGTATATTGGGTTTTTATTTTTGTAAGCCTCCCAGGGTCACTGAGAGTGATAAATGTAACAAACTTGGGAAAGCCAAGTTGTATCAAACTTGGAAAAGCCAAGTTGTATAGAGGCTTCTACAACCAAGTATGAAGAATGCAGTTTAGGTGGGAGCAGCTGATCCTACAAGGAGTATTTTTTTAATCTTTATGTTTTAGGGTCACTTATGGTTTTATTTTATTGGGAACAGGCTAGAATCCATAACGGCAGGTGACATATACATAATAAATAAGAGCAAAACCTCATCTAGTCCCTTGAAAAAGGAAATACGAATGGATCTCTTCCCTGCAAAACCTTTTTCAATTCCAAACATATTCATTTGGAAAGCCCACTGAATTAAATTAGAGGCAGCAGCAATCGTTTAAGGACCAGGCTGTACTTTAAAAACACATTAGGTACGTATAAACACAAGAGACAAGATAACTTAGAACAGGTTCTCAGAAGAGATTTCCTAGAGAATCAGCACCCGTTCTTCTTATCCTAACTCGACAAAGCAAATAATCCTTATAACAAAATTGATAAGGAGGCGATCCTTTCTAAATCACCTTTACTAAGGAATTGGGGCGGGCGGGGCGGGGCGGGGGGGGAATTAACACCTGAGAGTGCCCTCTGCCGGTGGAATGAAGCATAGTTGTTCAACGTCGTCGAAAAAGATAAGACGCGCCGGAACAGTGTTTCTCAACCTTGACAATTTTAAGGCATGTGGACTTCAACTCCCAGAATTCCACAGCCAGCAATGCTGGCTGTGGAATTCTGGGAGTTGAAGTCCACATGCCTTAAAATTGTCAAGGTTGAGAAACACTGCGCTGGAAGAAGCGGTCCGCGGGCAGCTGCCGTGCCCAGAATGGTGGAAATAAACAACAAGGGGAAGTCCAAAAGGAACGGAGCACGGAATGCAGCAAAGAAGCCAAAGCGGGGGTTAGAATCCAAAAATGAGCGGCCCAACACATTAATGGAGACATCCCGTGTAAAACGACAGCCAGATCACTCACACGAGACGAGGGGTGCAAATCCGGCAAAGGACGAGGGGCGGGAGAGAGCAGGGAAAGAAGCAGCGCTGGGCGAAGGTGCTCGGGCAGAGCTAAGGGGGGGGACTGTCGGGGAAGCGTGCGACTCTACTCCGCCCTGCTGGATTCGGATAGGGTTGACTGGAAGACAGCGGTCTGTCTCTCTTCTCTCTCTCCCCCCCCCCCCCAAGTCCTTCCATCCGACCTCAGCCTCCCGCGCACGCTGCCACCCGGGGACGTCCGCCCCGTCTCCGCACTTTCCCGCCCCACCTCGCGCAGCCACTTGCCGGCGCAAGCGTGCGCTCCGTCGACGGCGCGCCTGCGCTTCCTCACCTGCTTCCGAGACGACGCCGATCCACAGGCAGAGGCAGAGCGCGCCCAGCCTCTTCATTCGCGGCGCCGGGGCGAGGGCCCGTCGGGGAGGGAAGGCGGCGGCGCCGCCGGCAGCGGCGGGGCGAGAAGGACCCATCTTTTTCGCCGGCCAGCTGCTGGAAGGAGCGGGCGGTCTTGGCCGGCGCAAACGCCGCTCCGTCCGCCCCAAGCAGAGCTGACGGGCTGTCGGAGGTGGGGGGAGAGGAGGACGGCTCGGCCCCGCTTCCCTTTCCTTTTCCTCCCCTTTGCTGTCGCTGCCAGCGAGTCCTGCCTGGGCGGCTCAACCAACTTTGCCGGCGCTGAGGAATTCGGCCAACGGGCTCTGCCCCGGGAAGGTGCCGAGCCGGTGTGAGCAGCAAAAGGGAAGGAGAGAGGAAAGAAAGCGAGCAAAACAAAACAAAAAAAAAAGGCGGGAAGGGCGCCGGAGGTGTTAATCGACGGCTGCGGGAGGTCGAGTGGGCGAACGGAAGGGTCGGAGAGGCGAAGAGCAGAAAGTGCGAGGCCGGGTGGAGGCGGCCACAGATTGTGGGGTGGGGCTTGCTGGGGAGCGGAGCCGAGCCGAGCGGAGCTCAGGGCAGAATGCATTGAGGAAAGCGGGGCGGGGTGGGGGGGGGGAGAGGATGCTTCGAAGGGAGCTGACAAAGTGGTGCGGGATGTTGAGAGGGGAAACGAACCGTGTCAGGAGGAAAGGGGAATCGGGGTTCTTAGCGGGAGACGGAGGTAACGAAGTAATAATAATAATAATAATAATAATAATAATAATAATAATAATAATAATAATAATAATAATAATAATAATAATAATAATAATAGTAAAGTTGGAAGGGACCTTGGAGGTCATCTAGTCCAACCCCCTGCTCAGGCAGGAAACCCTATACCATTTCGGACAAATGGCCGTCCAGTCTCTTCTTTAAAACTTCCAGTGTTGGAGCATTCACCGCTTCTGGAGGTAGGTTGTTCCACTGGTTAATTGTTCTAACTGCCAGGAAGTTTCTCCTTAGTTCTAGGTTGCTTCTCTCCTTGATCAGTTTCCACCCGTTGCTCCTTGTCCTGCCTTCAGGCCCCTTGGAAAATAGCTTGACTCCCTCTTCTTTGTGGCAGCCCCTGAGATATTGGAACACTGCTATCATGTCCCCCCTCGTCCTTCTCTTCATTAAACTAGACATACCCAATTCCAGCAGCCGTTCCTGCTGGGGTGGGGGGGGCGAGAAGGAGCAGAGAGTTGGAACGGAGTAAAAATAGGGACGCGAAACGCCGACGCAAAAGAGCCCGAAGCGAAGTGCAGATGAGAGTTTCTCCACCAGCTCCGTGGATTCCCGAGGCCTCCAGCAAACCTCAGAAAAAGGCTTCTTGCCTGTGCAGGGGGAAATAGTCTAAGATTAAAACTCAACAAATCAGGGTTTTCCTGACACGAACGTTGAATTAAAAGCGGCTCTGTGTTGCTAAAACATTCGAAGGGTGAAAAACGACCATAAGCATAAAAAACCACCAGGTTGTCCTTATGAGCTGCCTTGAGCGTATATATAAATGGAAAGGAGGGGCTGTTCATTTAATAATAATAAAAAAATAAGACGATCCTTTTGGTTCTGTTCATTTGCTCTTTGCACCCGAGCAATTGCTGCAAGTAATTGGGAGACTGGCGTGGATTGATCTCAAACTGAATCTCTCGGAACCTTTTCGGCTCACTCGATCACCCTCCAGCAAATCGTGAACAATGTTATAGAGTTGGAATTGATCATTTAAGCTTCTTGAAGGAAGGGGAGAAAAATTCAGTGTAATAGTAGGATACCGCAACTACTTTGCTATGCATTCCTGTATTTGTGAATTTGACCAAATTGACTTGGAAATCCTATAAAATCAGACTGGTATGCATTTCATATTAATAAGCACATTCACATTCATTGCAGACAATAAAAATGGTTAACTAGAACTGTGGGGTCATGCATGCTCTCCCAATATATTCAAAGCTTCGGAATACACTAAGGACACAAACTTGCATTTATATGAGTGTATGGATGCACATACAGCACGTATAATTTCTTATACTGTATAAACATTTTAAGCACAGGAGAGTAACTCTAACTCCAAACAACAGTGTTTGGACCTGCTATTTCCTCTTCTGTTTGTTGTTTTGTTTCCTTTTTGTTTCTTACTCAGCAAAGCCCACATTAAGAACTGCACAACAAAGTTCTCAAAAAGAAAAAAAAACCCTCTCTTTTTATGACCCATGTAAGTCCCTCATTTGGGGTAGAGATAGGGCGACTGAGAGTTAGCCAGAAATTCAGATATTGGTATCTTTTGCTATGTAGTTTTTTTGGTTTCAAGTCATTGTTTTGCTATGAAATGAGCAATAGGTTCAGTTGCCTTTTGCTCTAGCCCTAATTCATGGAGGTGTTGACAGCCTACAAAATGCTAGATTTATTTGCATTCTTATAGGATGAGTTCTTGTAGATGGTCTGCAGAGAAGACAATTGTTCTAAGTAGTTTGCTTTTTAAAGGCTCTACTGTATTAGACTCTAGTCAGGCGTGTTTCCTCCTATATAGGGATTGTAGTTCTATCTGGAGAAAAATGCATGTCAGTAAGGACATAAGAACAAACAATAGTTTTGCACTGGTTGGTTACCAGCTGCAATGTGGGTTTGCGGGTGCAAACATCTTCAAGCCGAATGGCTTGTGTGAACAAAAGGTGAAAGAAGATACTTATAGAACTGACATATTATTCTCCATAGCTGACTTTTCACTTTGATATGAAAGCAGAAAATGAGAACAATGCAGAAATTAAATTGTATTATTGACTTCTTTGTGTTAATACATTTGAATCTTTCCTTGCGCCTTAGGAATATTACTGAATCCTTTATAACATATTACAGTACTTACAGCTCATCTTTTCTCTGCTCCCTAGAAAGCACCCAAGTATTGGAATTGTTCTGAAAATAGTAGTCTGTTTCAATTTTTTTCAATAAAAATGGGTTAAAGTTTTAATATTCACATTTAGAAATGTATGTAAATACATAGTTTGCTTTGATGAAGTTTAGAACTAGTGTGTCACTAGATGTAAACACATGAATCTTGCAAGTTATTGGGGAAATGTGTCAAACTAAGTAAGAATGCATAGACTAAATTGCTTGTCTTTTACATCTCATGTTTATGTCTGTCTTGGCAGGATTGGTTATAATTCAAACATTGCATAGTCTGATTTTAAAAAGTACAGTAACATTTGAAGTGAAATTAAATACTCAAGTAACAGCTGATGTGTTTTGAAAATGATACATGCATGGATAATTTAACACTTTCACCACTACAACTCTTCTAACCAAAATCCTATCAAATTGCTGAAAGCTGCCTGAAAATGCCCAAGTACAGGAAATAACATTTCAGGATAGTGGCAGACCTGGGCAGTCTAGGATCTACTAGGCTGTCCCCTTTTTACCAGCTTTGATCTGGTTTAACTAATCTATTTGAGGGAAATGTGGAAGGTGAAAAAAGAAAATGGCCAGGGGAATAAGTAAGCATAAAGTAGCTCCGCTGATTTCCCCACGAAACAATGCTTAGGAAGTAGCTACTACTGTATCTTTTTCTCCTGCAACTCTTAGGTAGACCCCACAGAGTTTGATGTAGCCTATGATTGCGCTCTAAAACTGGGCAAACATTGGTACTTCCAGCATTGCTGAATTACAGTTCCCAACATTCTTCATCACTGGAACTGCTAGAAGTTGTCCTTCAATAGCATTTGGAAAGCACTACCCAGAATTGCATTAAAGTCATTTGAATAATGGGAGTAGGGAGGTTGTATCATAGTCCTGACATATTGTGCCCCCTCCTCCCAGTTATAATTGGAAAGAGACTGTAAATATTGCACCTAAGAAAGAACCAGCTGTTTACATTAGCGCTGCTTGGCAGATTTGTTAAATGCATGTACCAATGTAGCACATGCTTCCTTTTATTCCCTATTGTTGGATGTATGCTGCTCTAGTCTAGAAGACTGCCAGAGCAAGGATAGTATTCTGATGCAGCTAAAGAGCAAAGTGGGTTATGATAAAGGGAGGAAAGAAACGAGCAAACATAAAAATCAAACAGAAATATGCAAATAGTGCTAATTTATCCATTTGTAAAGTGAGGACTTTGAAAAGATACAACATTATATAATTTCAAGATTAAAGTTGATTCAACATGTTGGCAATCTGGGCATCAGCCTTTTCAGATCAGGTAGTATCTTTCCTAGCTTGAGTTGAACATAGTTCAGTAAGTTAAGAGAATGGGTTGTGGTAGGAAAAACCTGCAATTTTGCATTTTTACACAGAAATATGTGCTCAATATTTCCGGTGATGTGTTCTCAATTTCCTTCCCTAACTATTTTGAATATACATAATGTCCTGTTTCTAAAACCAAATGGCAAGGAATGAATATTATAGGAAATTTTTGAGATTCTGGAGCAAAATTCTGGAACCTAATGATAAAAAAACTACATACTGTGGAATTTAGTATAATCATAATCTTTACAAATTGAGTCAATTAAAAAATTAAATATTTTTGTTTAATTAAAATTATGTCCCATCATTTGGGTTGAAATAAACATGTTTAACAACTATTGCCTTAGAGAAAGCATTCATGATAAAACATATTAATACATTATCTAAATGTAGATAAAATATTTTTGTCATTCAGTTACTGCTTTATTCTCAGCAAAAAAAGTATGCAGTCTTAATTGTTTAAAACTATTATTAATTTTTTGACAAGAGTTAAGAATAATTAAGATGACAGTTTGCTTGGGACTAAACTCCATCTGAGTAAATGTTTATAATACTGTAGTTAGATATTTCCTAGCTTTGATTACCAAACTTGTACAAACTTTGTTTTCTGTCATTTTTAATACAAGCTTTGCATAAACTTCTTTTATTAAAAAAAATCTCCCTTTTCTGTCCTGAAGCTCTATTATTTAAAGCTACAATTTATATCTATCATTTCAAATTTCCAAAGGAAATATAGTTAAATTTCTGAGTCTTATTAAGTGTAATACCTGTTACTATATGCATACATACTTACATTTATTAAGCATAATACCTATTACTATATACATACATACATACTTACACTTAT